GTTTGAAACTAAGATCTGATACACTAGGTCTTCTAGGGAAGCATTTCTCAAACTTTATTGTCTGGAGGAATCACCTGGGCATCTTATTAAAATGCAGATTCTGATCAAAATGCAAGTCTGGATGGGGTCTTGGATTTGCATTTCTAATAAGCTCCCAGGAGGTGGCAGTGATACTGGCCAGTGGCCCACACTTTAAGTAGAAAGAATATAGAGAAGGAAAGGCAGGCCAAAAAAAGGCAGAGTTGGCAGGAACAACTGCAAAGAAAGAGTTTGTATCAGGGCTAAATTAGGGCAAACCAACTATTGTAACTAATAAACTTCAAAATTCACAAAGGCTCCAGCACAATAGAATTGTATTTCTTAATTATGCAACAATACTGGGACAATAACAGACCACTGGGCAGCTAGTTCTCATCCATCCATTCAAGAACCCGTTTTCAGCTTAAATTGTCTCATCTTTGGCCACTGGCAGCCTGCTGAGTTACTTTGACATGCCCTAGGAGTCTTTAATGGTGCTGTGCTATCTGGTATGACAAGATAGTTCAAACTTATTTGTACACTCCTGGGCTCAGAGTACCTGGAAGCAGTCCTTTCTCCATGAAACTCCGGTTTCTTTTAGTGTAAAATTGTATTCCAAGTTATTCGTGAATACTTAGCTGGTCATTATTTTCAGGATTTTTCACTGACCAGGAACTGAGAAAGTGTTTGAAATATATGTATTTTTCAATTTAAAATCTTGTGTTCAGATGTTGGTAAGAAAATGAAAAAAAAGGACATTTTTGAACATTGTTGATAGTGTAGTTTTTATAAAAACAATATCGAGGTTCCTCAATAATTAACAATAGAACTACTCTATTTCAGAAATCCCATTTCTTGGAATATACATATGTGAAGAAAATAAAATCAGTATCTCAAACAGAAGTCTTCATTCCCATGTTCCTTGCAGCATTATTCACAAGATCCATGATATGGAGTCAACCTAAATGTCCATTGACAGATTAATGGATAAAGAAAAGATGACATAGGTTCCCACACACACACAATGAAATATTGTTCACCATAAAAAGATGAAAATTTTGTTATTTGTGATAACATCAATGAACCCAGAGGATATTATGTTAAGTAAATAAGCCAGACAGAGAAAGACAAATACCGTATAATATCATTTACATGTGGCATCTAAAAGCAAACTAACAACAGATAAAACTTACAGAAACAGAGTAGACCAGTGGTTGCAAGAAGCTGGAGGTTGAGGGTGGTGTAATGGGATGCTGGTCAAAGGGTAAAAACTTTTAGTTATAAGATGAGTAAGTTATAAGGCGCTAATGCAGAGCATGGTGACTATCAGTAATAATACTGTATTGCATACTTTAAATTTGCAAAGAGTAGATCTTAAGCATTCTCATTAAAAAAGATAAAAAAGTAACTGTATCTAAAATGGCTATGTTAATTAACCCAACTGTACTAATCATTTCACAATGTTTGTGTTTATCCAGTCATCATGTTGCATACAATTTTATTTGTCTACTATAATTCAATAAAGCTGAAAAAAATCCCATGTGTTCCTATTGCTATTTCTAATTCAGATCTAGCATTACAGGGTTTTTCCTTGACTTCTATATTACATCTTCTTCCTCCTCCACGAACACTCCTGGATTGAAAGGACACAGGAGATGATGAATTAAAATCTCATAATTAATTATTTGCTTTATTTACCTTTAAACATAATGATGTTAGACTAAATCATTTATACTACCTCTTTAATTAAAATGACAGAAAACAGTTACTATACTTTTGTGTATTTTATCTCCTTTCTCCTCTCTTTTTTACAATGCTGCAATATGTCTTCATTGCCAGATCATACAAACATGTTAACAGTACTCTCTTGTATCTTAGCCATCATTTATTCTTAGTGTTTCAAATAAGTATATATCTAATGTTCACTGCCAGATCTTATGTTGACGTTTTTCTGGATAGTTTCGTTCTTAAAAGTCATTCTCTAACAGATTTCCTAAGAAAGACTCATGGGAACAATATTCTGGGTTCTTGAATTTTTATCAGATTTAGTCTGTGCCTTTAAAGTCAATTTTGGTGGTTATAAAATTCTTAGCTTACATTCCCTTTTCTTGAGTATCTTAAATACAGTTCTTCATTTCCTTTTGCAAGAAAGCTTTGCTGTTAAAAAGTTTGATCATCTAATTTTTTTCCTATATAAATCATATGCTATAGTTGCCTAAATGTGCAAAGATTATCTCCTTTTCTCTTTTTTTTGAATTTAGTAATTTTGCTAGACTATATTTTAGTTAAGAGCTATAAATCAGTCTTCTGGTACATAAGTATTTTCAGAATGTAGTTTTCTTTGTTGCTTAATTAAAAAATAATAATTATACAATGTGATATTTTGATATATGCATATATTGTTAGAATGATAACATCAAGCTAATGAATGGGTGTGTCAGCTTACATACTTAATATTTTGTTGTGAGAACATTAAAAATCTACTTTTTTAGCAATTTTGAAGTATACAATATATTATTAGAATGTGGTTTTCAATGTATACATATACTATATTCAGAAAGTTTCCTCAAATTATACTTTTACTATTCCTTCTGTTTTCTTGTTTTGATTTACTTTTTCTGGGACCCCTGGTAACCATACATTGGATTTTCTTTGCCTGTTTTCAAAAATATTTAATATTTGTCACCATTTAAAAAATACTTTTTAAGCTCTTTTTCTAAAAGAAGTTTGGATTTAAATTTTTTAAAAAAATTTTTCTTAAGGCATTTTTCCTGTAGTGTTTATTCATTCTCATTTAGTCTTTTTTTCTTTCTTTTTTTTTGAATTGGAGTCTCACTCTGTCACCCAGACTGGAGTGCAGTGGTTGCTCCTGGCCACTGCAGCCTCGACTTGCTGGGCTCCAGCGATCCTTCCGCCTCAGCCTTCCAAGTAGCCAGAACTACAGGCGCGTGCTACCATGCCTGACTAATTTTTAAAATTTATTTGTTGTAGAGATGAGGTCTCACCAAGTTGCCCAGGTGGATCTCGAACCCACGGGCTCAGGCAATTCACTAACCTCGGCCTCCCAAAGCGCGGGATTACAGGCTGAGTCACTGAGCCCAGCCAGTTTTTTTTTTCAAATAATTTTTCTTTATAATTTTTTCTTGAGTTTCATGACTTAACTCTTTAGTTTTTTTCTTATTCTGATTTATGATGTTCTTTCAAATCTTATATCATTTTCTTAATGTTATTTATTTATTTGAAATTAGGTGACAGTTTTAGTCTGTTTTATAAGCATCTTTCTAGTATCCTTTCAGTGTAGATAGGGGTCATTTTTCTTATACTTATTTTCTCATCACCACTTCATATACAATTTGAATCAATAATTTCAAGTTGCTCATTTTTTGTGAATATTACCTTCTGGAATATTCACCTTTTGTGAATATTACCCTCTGGAAGGAGGCGTGATGCCGATAACTTTTCAAGCTTCTCAGAGCTCCCACTTCTGTTATTTTTGTGTGGTATTAAAAAATAAGGAGGCTTGATTGATGAGATAGACTGACTCTGCTCATTTCCCCTCACATCCTTACTGTTTCAGGACCTTTTCTTTCTCTTGGCCAAGTTCAGTTGTGACAATTTCTATAGCTTCCTCTCCAGGAGGGATCTTGTCTTGGAGGTGAGCCAGGGCAGGTCAGTTTCAAGTGTTCACTGCTCTATCTCCTTCAGACCTTCTTAACTTACTTAGGCTCTGCCACTTGTTACCTTATAGGTACAGACAAATTATTTAACTTTTTTAGTCCTAGCATCTTTATTTGAAGAAATGGTATGAGAACAGTCCCCATCTTACAATGTTGTTGCAGGAATTAAATGATCTAATGTGTGAAGACTTTAGCAGGGTATATGGCATGTTGTATATACCCAAAATGTATGAGCTCACCAATAGCCAACATTATTCCCAGGCGGTCATTTAATACATTTTGCCAACTGAGTAACTAAATAATGTGAACTTGACATAGACATTATTATATTTTATTTGGTGAAATATCAAACTCATTCCAGAATTAATTCAAGCTAGGTTAAAGATACATATCCATGCATAACTTATGACAATTAGTGCAAAGAGGAAATGAGATTTGTTCACAGTTCTCCTTGTTCTGGCCAATAACAGCTGTGTATGTTTCACCCTATCAAAAGATTCGCCTGAATGCTTCTGGATAGTTGTATTTGTTTGGATTACATACAGATTGTTTACCATATTCTTTTGTGTTTATTTTTCTGTACATCCTGTATACATTCGGAGCATTATGAACAAAGCGGCCCCAAGGTGATTGTTCGGGGACAATTTTAGGTTCATGCAGCTTCCTGCTTCCGTTTTTAACAATGTGGGAATGATGTGTAATTGTACATTGTTAGAAGTTTGGGGTTTATGTATTACCTTCAAGAACAATTGTGAGCATTTTTCTGGAACATAACATTTATGTCATCACAGCACCTGGGCAGAAACATTTTGAGATTGTTAGAATGTTTCGTGTTTCTCCCTCTGTCCAGTACAGGCAATGGATCTAGAGTGGGCAGGGACTGCACGGTGGCAAAAAGTCTCAGGGGTGGCCTCAAGGCTTACCCTACTTGCTGGTTGATTCCTAGATTTCACCTTTTCCAAAGAACCAGAGTTCTTCCACTGTGTCCTAATTCAAAACCTCCTGAAGGTGTGGTGACATCAGTAAAGGATGAGAGCTGACCTTTGACAGGACAAGGGCTTATATGTATTGAGCTACAGGCCATAGGTGTAACTTTCAAGTTGACATATGATACATTTAATTGACAGGCATCTGCCAGTCATTGGCTTCCTTCTGATATGATTAGCACTGGGGAAATTTTAAAAAGAGAGTTGAAATATTATTTCCATAAGTAATGAGAACTGGACAATAGTTTAGAAAAAATGGACAACTCTTCTATTCCTTAATTGTGTGTTGTGTTGTTTTTTGTTTTTGTTTTAACTGCAGCTTCGGAAAGCAGTGATGGATCACATATCTGATTCTTTCTTGGAAACCAACGTCCCTTTGCTAGTTCTCATTGAGGCTGCAAAGAGCGGAAATGAAAAGGAAGTGAAAGAATATGCCCAGGTTTTCCGTGAGCATGCCAACAAACTGGTGGAGGTAAGTAAGGAGAGACTCGAAGACTAGAATTCATGGACAGTTTAATCTCTATATAGAGCTTTTAGAGTTTCATACACTGCCGTTTTCTTGGAGAAATCATATAGTTTTCCTGGAGAAGTAAAGTCCTGGAAACTTCTTTTCTTTTACCTTCTGATTATTCTACTCCTTTCAAAGGAAACAGGCTGTCAGCAATCTCTCTATCTCACAACGCTATGTATATGCTGAAACATACCTTCCAGTTTTCCTGAACAATAGGCAGAAGCTGAAACAGAAGAAGGGACACTCTGAAGTGTTCAATACCAACTTTGATTTAAGGGATTAAATTAAAACTGCCAAACAGAGGCCTAGAACTGTTCTCTTTTCTTTCTTCTCACCCACTGTCCCACTCTACCCAGTGAAGCCTAGATTCACTGGACACATTGGGAACTTGTGAGGAAAAAAACCCCAAATAAATCCTACCTCCTCCAAAGAGTTGTTTGAACTCCTGGTGAAAGATCTTATGGCAGTACACTTTTAAGTGCAGGGTTATAAGTATATTTTCTGTGTTGGAGGAATCTGTGGGGGTTGCTTTATAAATGCAAAATTGTGCTGTGTAATAATGAAAAAAATACTGTACAAGGGAAATGATAACTAGGCTGCCTAAATTTAGGAGCTGAAAACCAACAGCTTGTCAAAGGTGAGATTAGTGGTATGGGGCTAAGTAGAAAATAAAGATGTTACACAGGAAATGTGTGTGCTAGGGAAGAAGAGCCTAGGATGGATTATTAGGGCCTGGTTAAAACTTTTGCATGCTCTGAGCACTTAATACTGCTGACACCACCACTGTGGTATAGTCCCACTTTAATTCATAATAAAATAAAATCACCCAAAGCGATAGACAATTTTAATGCAAGCTGAAATAAAAATGAGCTATTTTGTTTTCTTTGGATGGCAAAGTTAAAATTCTTAATAAGTTCATGAAATGTAAAAATCCTGTCTGTTTTCCTTAGAGTGGGTGACGGGACTAGTGCTTGGTTGAGCTGTACTGTAAGCACCTGCTTAATTTGCTCTTTGGTTAATCTAGTATTGCTGGTGCCTCTATGGCTGAAGATACTCAACCAGAAGGAAATCCTACATCAAGCCCCTGATTCTTTAGGACACAGGTTGAGTCATCACCTGTCAGTGAGTTCTGTATACAGAAGCCTTGGCCACACCAATAGAACCTCTGAACTTCCTACCATAACCCAAGTATCTCAAGGCAACACCAGCATACAACTAAAAATAGGGTAATACTCATGATATCAAGGCAGTCATTCTGACTCTGTCCCAACGTACAAGCCAAGTCCTCCATCCCCCCTCATATCCCACCCGTGTGCTGTCAGAGGTCACCTGTCTGTTAGGGAATCCAGAGTCGTCCCAATGTTGACCTTAGAGGCTCTGATCACTTCCATGTTTTGAGAAGAAGGTGGTGGAGGGGATCAGGGATAGGAGGAAGGAGAGGAAGAGGAGGAGGACAAGAAATAATTCTGATTGAGAACCACAAAGCTTTAAATAGTCACATGTAATAAAATAATATTAGCATGCAACTATGCCATCCCATCTATATAGTTACATTGTTTACAAGATATTGCAGACTTTATAGAAAATATTAATTAATGGTGTATTGTAGGCACTGCGGATAAAGGCACATGAATTTAAAGTTGCTTCATAAATATTTATGTTTAGTTCTATCAATATCTTTCAGTAACTCTGTATGTTTCCCATTTGCAGATCTTATTTGAAGTCTTGTGTGTCATCTTTCCATTCATTCTTCCTTCCCCTCTGATACATCCCCTGGACACATCCATCATTCCCCTTATCCCGCCCTTAGGTTCCACTGCAAGTGAATCCCGTTACTACCCACGATTCTTGATCCTCAAATTGTGGCAGAAGCCAAAGGCTCAAGTCAGTCACGAGCATTTTAGAAATTTGCTGCATTTTCTCCCTCATGTATTCCCTTCATGACCCATGGGTGGTTACCACACCCAGCGGCATGTTAATGTCTTGATGCTCAGGAGATACATGGACTGGTATGAGGACTGGCCTCTGTTTGACTAGAGAGAGAATGGAATGTAAAGAATTTCTATAGCTTATGCCTCTCAAAAGAGTTCTACATTATGGATGCATATATGCAAAAAACTTTGAAACACTGAGCTTTACGCTTTTTCCAATTTTGAAAAGTGTTTGTGTGGACTTGGACTCTTTTCTGGGCCTTAGTTTCTGTGTCTGTAATATGAAGAATTTGGTTGACATATTGATTTTATATCCATTGACCTTGATAAATTCTCTTACTAATTCTAAAAGTTTGACTATGTCTTTTGGATGTTCTAGGTATAGTCATGTGCTTGCAAATTATGGCAGTTGTGTTTCTTCCTTCCCAATTCTTATACCTTATTTCTTTCTTGCATTATTGTGTTGGCTACGATCTCTAGTACAATATTGCAATAGTAGGTTTGTATATATTTTTAATTTTGGATCTCAGTGGAAAAATTTCAATACCATACCATTAATGATATTGTTTGCTCTAGATTTCTTGCAGATACTCTAATTAAGTCAAGTTAGGTCTAGTACTCATTTGCTAAGAGACATTTTTCTTGTCTCCATTATCCTTGAAATGTTGGTGCCAAAGTAATGCATTTCTTCCAAAAATAAGTTGGGAATTTTTCCTTCTCTCTAGTTTTTGGAAGTAAATGTGTAATACTGGCATAATCTATTTTTTAAATATTTGGAGGAATTCATTGAAAAGGCAGTGTGAGCCTAGAGATTTATTTGAGGAAAAGTTTAAAACTATAGGAGTATTTAAATTTTGGATTTCTTTTGGGGTCAGCTTTGTTAGGTTGTCTTCAAGGGGTTTGTAGTTTTATTTGATGTTCTAACTGACTGGTGTAAAAATGTCTGTAATACACTTAAGGGTTTTGTTTAATGTGGGGGGGATTAAACAAAACAGCACTGCTGTTTTCGTCTCATTACTTATATTGCTAATTAGTGTTTTTTTCCCCTTTTCTTGATCAGTTTTGCAAGTGGTTTATCAACTTAATAATATTTTCTTCAATAAAAAGCTTTCACTTCTTTTTTTATTTTTATTTTTTTAGTTTTAAATCAATATTTTAAATTATGACATTGGGGGTACAGTTAAGGGTTAGGTATACAAATATGCTTTTGTTCAGGCCCCCTTGTTGATAAGAGGTGTCTCCTTGTCCCCAGACAGATGTTTACTACCTTTAGTCCTATCCCCCTTCCCCTCCCATAGTTTCCCACCACTATCAGTCATTTTTTTATGGTAGTATGTTGGATGATCAAGGTCCACTATATGAGTGAGAACATGTGATACTCAGATTTTTGTTTTTGTGAGACGTCACTCAGTATTATACACTCTAGTTCTATCCAGGTTGCTGCGAAATTCATGATTTTGTTCTTTTTTATGGCTGCGTAGTATTTCATCATGTATATGTACCACATTTTTTTTAATCCAGTTCTCTTTTGATGGGCAGCATGGTTGTT